TTTCACGGATCATGAGTGCGTCAGTGGTTACACAACACGGAGGGAGAGAGGCAGGGAACGAACTTGCAAATATGTGGCTGACATATTTGTCCATCTCCTGCAGCAGCTCATCGCTGAAAGAATTCCCACTGAGGTCCTTGTTCTTTTGAATGAAAAGAACATTTTCATCAAAAGGGTTTTTAAATGATTACCTAGGTAGTTATAAAAATGAGAAAAAAAATTAGCTGCTACAAAGAGAAAAATAATCCATTTCAATGTCAGTTTCAGTCAGCGGCAGAGTGTAAAGGTCCACATCGTAGTTGAACAGAGGAAACCAGATGTACCTGCGGTGCTTATTTTGCGTCGTACAATTTCTGTGATGCTGCTCACTGTCGGTGAAGCGCAGTAGACCCTATGAGTCGGATTTATGGGAAGAACTGGGTTAAGATGTGGCTCGGAGGGATGTATTGTGAGAGTAAGTGTGAGCTCGGGAAGACTCGGGAATTTGTGTGAGCGAGTGTGCACGGCGGTGACATGTGAGGATGTGATGGCTGCAGCCATGCATAGATGTTCACACCAGGGAGGAAGTAAACAAGCATGGCAGCAGAATGGTTAGTAAAGAGTGACCATTGTTAACAAATGTCACCTCTCTTGCTTTTATTTAGCCACCCTATTATTTAATAAATCTGGGTTCAGTTGTCTGACTTGGGTATGAAGGACTTTTTAATACCTGGTGGGTTTCCTATCAACCAGAAAGATCACAAGAGCTCATTATTACGGGAATGACGCAGAAAGCAAACGCATGGTTGGGTTTTTTGGCTGTTGTAGGGCAGAAGTGCCGAAACCAGGTGAAAAAACTAAAATTAAAGTCCCATTAGTCATCACACACTAGTGAAATTACTTCTGCGCATTTGACCCATCCCTGTGGAGAGCGGTGGGCTACAGCAGTGGCTGTGCTCGGGAACTATTACCTTAAAGCTGGGCGTAAAGCGGGGAGGCTTTGGGTCCCAGTCTTTGGTATGACCCAACCAGGATTTGAACCCCGATCGCCCAGTCCTGAGAAGAAAAAGAAAATTCTGCAAAGATTTTGGAAATTCTTGCATCAAAATTAGGCGTGTAACAATGAACTTGGCAGAGGTGTGACTAAGTCACTGCTTTGCAAGTCACAAGTAAGTCAAGTCCAAGTCAAAGACAACCAAGTCCAAGTTGAGTCCAAAGTCAGTGATGTGGAATTCTAAGTCAAGTCTGAGTCCTTAACTTAGAATTTTCAAATCCTATTCAAGTCATCTGTCCAACTTCAATTTAATGATGATGATAATAAATAAATCCCAGAACTAAAGCTTCTTAAAGCTTCATTTATTTGCTCAAACAAGCAGAAAGTGCAACTGAAACTGATTATAAACAAAGTGCTGCTGCATTTAGCAGTACAAGATCAAACCCAGAACGAAGAGTGATTTATGATTTTTGTCCATGTCGGGCCACTTTTGTGCTAAAATATCAACTATGCTCAAGCCATCATCAAGTCAACAGATGCAAGTCAATTCAAGTCGCAAGTCATTGGTGTTCAAGTCCAAGTCAAGTTGTAAGTCTTAATAGATGTTATCAAGTCAAGTCAGAAGTCGTTAAAATAATGACTTGAGTCTGACTCAAGTCCAACTCATGTGACTTGAGTCCACAGCTCTGGAACTCGGTACACAAGATGAGATTAAACATGACTCTGGGCTCATGAGAATGACACAAGATTGCAATATTCACATTAAAAAAGGGATTTTGGTTGAATCTATTCAAACTGCTGAACAATGCGTGTCTTCACAACCTAGTAAAGCTGTCTGACCTCCATTTTTCTGGTAGATGTTTCTCTTTTATCACTAGTAACATCAAAACCACTGATTTCAACCTGCCTTCTGTAAAAAAAATCTGCCTTTTGCTGACTTTAGTGTTTCCATGTGACTGTGATTTATTACAGCTTATAAAGTGTGGTGTCATTACAGCTGTTTTCATTGACTGTTCTGACACTTTACGCTGCTAATCCTAACCCTAATCAACTAAAGGAATGAAAATGTGCATCAACAAAGCAAAGCCAGACTTCCTTTTTGATTCACCTTACCCTACCTAGCCTAAACACCCTTTAAATGTTGGTGATTGTTGATCCAAACCCCACTTATTTCTCTTTACTGGTGTACATAACCTACTCAGTCTTAGATCGTAAGAGAAAGGAAACTAAAACAAAACAATTCCAATCAATTGATCAAAAATCCAATCCAGTGATTCCGCTTATACTGTCACGGACAACAGTTACCTCTTTACCAAAGCTACTGTAGTATAAAGTGTGTGAGTAGCTTTAAACACTAAGCTTGGTAGCAATTCTTTAACAAATAATTTATTCGCAATTGCTTCGGTAAACGTTCTGCCTCACATCAAACCTTGTTTTGTTGGTTTTTCCTCTTTTTCACGTCTCCATTAAGTGGTTCATTCTCAACAATGTAAGTAATTATTCTAAGGGTAAGGGCTATAATCCTGGAGTTCTTGAATCCATGTTTCTGCCACTTCCAAAGCCCCCCGCTCTTGTATCTACTGACCCAAGTGACCCAGTGTTACTTATTTATTCCTTTCTCCTCACTTAGGAAAGTGAGCATCTCTCCAGTTACTCCACATAACTCAGACAGAGAATTGCTTTAGCTGCAATGGTCCGACCTTTGTCCCCATCCACGTAGAAAAGAAAATGACAAAATAATCTGATGTGGAAGTTGGAAAAAGTGCCTTCCTTAAAGATCATCCGGTGAAAACACACAACTGGCCTTGGCATCTGACAGTCAACATTTCTGCAGCTAGTATGACGAGTTCTGTAAAGGTTTCATCGTAAGATAACACAAGACTCCACTCCTCACATTTTTGTAGTCTTCTTTGCTGCTGTTTATTGGAACCTATTATTTGTAGCTAGTGGTGGGCTAGTATCAGATGAGGGTTTCAACGATGGCTCAATAACCTTTGTAAGGACTCCTCGAGAGTTTCGAGGATTTTGGTAGCTGAGAAATCTAGACACATAGTAGCAGAAGCAAAATGATTTTGCTCTGAACGTCCTGAACAGTCCTGTGTCTTGCCAATCACAGCGCTCCATTGGGTTAGGGTTATCATGTTGTGTTGGAGTGGAACAACAAAGATGGCTGTGGCTCATTTGAAATGCCTTTGATATCAACTTCAGACTATTTAGACTTGGACTTTTCTTACCGCCAATATAATGATGAATAATGATAATAATCATAATGATTTTGACTATTCTTTGTAATCATAATGAAGAGGTTTCCTAGATTATAGATTTGGAAACTTTTTAATTGACTAAACTTACGGAAAGAATTTAATAGAGTTCAGCCCAATAGTGAGAGAAAAGTGCTGAAACTAGCAGTCGGTTCTGGTTTTTTTGAGCATAAAGAAGGAAAGACAGTGCATGAAATGTTAAATAGGGGAAAAGAAAAGAGCCATTATTCTAATATTGAACAAGAGCAGCCTCTGTGAGGTAAGGAGAGAAACCCTGTAACGGCACATTTTACAAAGGGAATAAATATTCCAAGAGCCTTTTATACACAGTGCCTGGCATTTTATCCTTGAGGAAACCGAAGGAAATTATAATCAACTTTTCCTCTTTTTGCTTTTGCATTAAAGTAACTAAAGTTTATGTTTATTTTTCAGAACCATTTAGAAGCAGCGAAGCATCTTCAGCTTTCTGCAAAAATATTCTATTTAACACGGTGTGCGTTTAAAATTCAGCAAAAACATACATTGCCGCTCCATTAACTGGTCATCTGTGATGTCCGAGTTAACGATGTGACTTTAAATACCACGAGCCCCTCTGAAGTGAATCCCTGAGACGTGGTAGGGAACATGTCGCAGCAAAGGGCCCTTGCTCCGGCTGAGCCATTATGCAGATTGTATGCTAATGAAGTTATCTGATTTAGTTCTGCTTAGGCTGCGCTGCATTCAGGGAAGATAATCAAGCACTGATCAGCTCCCGCTACTGCACTCAGTGAATGTGTGCTACTTTGTGTGTCTCAGTGTGTGCTGCTTGTAACCAGCCATCTTGCGCTGCCTTAGCTGTGGGGAAAAGAAAACACTTTGGGGGGTCACAGTATGTGTTAGTCTGTATTTATCTTTCTGGTGTATTTTGTGAACTAAATAAAACAAACCTTTATTTATGTAAATCCTTGTAGTTTTGGTGTTGAATGCATCCATGTCGTAACTCTAGGGTATTTTATTGTTATTTATTGAAAAAATGTTACTTCTTCCCAAAATTGGTTATGTAGATGCTTGAGTTTGTTTTACAATACCACTAAAGGAGGTGTATGGTTTAGGCCAGGCTATAGATGTCCTTTGCAGATGTGTATTAAGGTTTTACCGTGAAGGGTTTGGTAAATTGAGTGCTTTAAGAGCTCAATATATATTACCTGTACATATGACCAATAAGCTGTGATACTCTATATAAATATAGAATATCAACCTGCTTGGTCTTTACTGTGTTTAATCAGAAGATTCTAGGATTCTTTATTTATTCACTTCGTTTTGATTCAGTAAAGAGTCAGGTTTATAAAAGTAAGAATTTATTTAACAAACAATTAAAACATGACATGTTAACTAATATTTACTGTGATGGATGAATCTAGATGGAGGAGAAGATGTGATGTATGGTGCCTATGTGTGAATGCGATGTTATCAGAACTTCCGTATCTAGGCAAGCTGAGTTCTGGGTGTAAAATAATTTGGTTTGCGTTAACCTATTAAGTTGATTATTATCAAAAGACATCAGATGCTATCTGTGTGTCTACCTCACCCGTTCTCGGAGACCCTCTTCGTGGATCCGAAGGTCAGGGAGGTCGGATGACCTCTGGCACCGAGGGCTGTAGAATACCGTAGCAGCGACTCTTCAGTCCAGAGATGTCTCAAGTCACGACAGCTGGAACCGCGCGTCTGGGACTCTTAAGGAGTCGCAACAGTATCAGCTTTTTCTGCAGGAACTGTTCGCTATGGCTGTGTCTCAATTCAGGGTCTGCATCCTACCTCGGCCGGATTCGTCGGCCGGTTACGTCACAGCGCCGCGACTCGGCCTGTCCCAATTCGAAGACTCCTTCAAATGCGGTCGACGAATGCGGCCTTCTTTTCGCCTGAATGAAGGATGGGTCGGGTGTATCCTTCAATAGGTAGCATTTCCCAAGATGCCTTGCGGGCCGGCCGGCAGAAAAACTTAAAAACAATGGCGGACAGTGAAGCGGGAGCTGTCGGAGAGGATTGCGCATATAAATGTAAGTATAAACTTGAAAACTGTCAGTTTAAGGACTTTTTGTGATACATGAACGTTATTTTAGTTAGAAATGTTACAGTAAAAGTGCTTGTATTGCGGTCTCGGCTCGTATGTTCGGCCGCGCTCGGTGTCGTACTTCTCCCACTACGTTTCCCCCTGATTTTAATAGAAGTTTGTATTTTAGGACCAAAAGAGAAAACCAGGGAATTTATTAAGCTTAGGGCGGAGATGGACCACATGATCACCGGAGCAAAGTATTCGGCGGCTGTGGCATGGAGGTACAATAACATCTCATATTTTAAAAACTCGTTTGAGTATATTTTTTTCTGCGAAAACATGAAAGAAATAACCCGTTGTCCTCTTTTCTCTTCCTGTTTCTTTTCTTACATGTTTGTTAAGACTATTCTGGAGAAAATGGGCATCCAGGGGAAGGTGCCAGCGATGAGCTTCTGGAGCTGATCTGGGAGGACATGAGGCTGCAGAGCAGCAGAGAGCACAGGAGAGAAGGAAGAACTTTGACAGCTTTTTACTTTGCTAGAAAAAAATGGTTAATGAAGATTAAACATGTACATGTAAAAGAAATATCTAAATAAAATCAGTTCTGCATTAAACTCTTGAATTTTATTTTTGTTTACAAATGAGAATTGTTTACTAGAGGGTATCCGCTGGGTCTTGAAAAGTCTTAAAAGGTGATAAATCGGTTTTGGTCAAAGTAAGACCCTTAGAAAGTATTAAAAACTATTATCACATCTTTGCTCAGGCTCAGCTAGTCTAAAGTATTTTCTCTGAATTAGCTCTCCAACAGTCAAGGAAATGATTAACCCCCAGAGACCCACGGTTGTAGTATTACAACATCAGATTTAAGTCTACAAAAATAAACCTTCCCCATTTTTTTTCTTTTTAAAACCACATTTACATTGCTAATAGGTCCTATTCAGTTCTGCAACACTATTGGCTGTTAAAATGTGTAAATAGGCCCGTTTATCTGGCCTAGAACAACATGTGAAAGGTTAAAAATATTTTGCAGTTGTTTTCTAAATATTGGGTTTCTGGGGGTTAAAAAGCTAAATAAAACGTCGAGCTCCATCGTTTAAGGTTCCTTCTGCCCAGCGGTTCCACGGTTGCTAGGCGACGGAACGTTCGCCGAGGGAGTTCATGAAGGCTAGGCCTGTCCAAATTCACAGCCGTTAACATCCGGTCTACCCGGCCGACGGAGGACGCAGCCCACGTCGGCCGGGTGGGCTGGGTCCTTCGAAGGATGCAGACCCTGAATTGAGACACAGCCAATATCAGCTTGCAGGTGCAAAAAAGATTTTGATGATGTCTCAAAAGCGTTGATGGGTTAAAGGGGTTTTTGCTTCAGATGGCCGGTCTGAAGCTTTCTCAAGAAGTCCAGAATCACCAGAGTGATCCGGTTTTAATGTTCTCATGTTATGATTTGTGCAGCCAACCAGAGGTTGACAAGTTGAGGAACATTACCAAGACAACCCCAGAAACACGCTTTCTTTGATACCGGATGCTCTGATCTGGGGTAAAGGACGATCCACATATGTGTCACGCGTTTGACTTAACTTTACTTTGTCTTTATGTGAGTGCAAATGGTGATGACCTTGTCATATCAACATGCTGAACATATATCAATCAAGTAATCATAACATTCATTTCAAACTTCAATCATTGAGCACAGATTAATGAAATGTTTCATTATATTATAATTATTATAATTAGTAATAAACACACGCTTATTTAATGATTATCTAGCTTATGTGTTTTAGAAGTTCATATTCAATTTAGGAAATCATTCTTTGATTTAGCAACTAATCCGAGCTGCAAGTGTTCACTTATTTGGAGGCATGAATAATCCTGTAGGACGATAAGGGAAGCTTGGGACTTGAGGAGTGAACATTATTGTTGACAATACGTTATCATGTGTTCAGAGCTGCAGAGAGGCTCTGAGCTTCAGCTGATGGGATGAAGGCAGGCAGATTAAAGGGATGAAGGCAGGCAGATTAAAGGGAACACATGCAGTCTCGTGTCTCCATTTTGATCAGATGTAGAAGGGTCAAACTGTACCCAAAAACTGATCATTGCTGGACATTACAACCATCTCCTCTTTATGTGTGCTAGAGCATGATGATTGTTTTAAGCATGCACAGTACTTCTGTAGGATGGTAGTGACTATCACAATAACAGTATACGGTACTGATTGGTAGCAGATGATCCATGATGTCTTCAAGGATTAGAAATATTACTGGTCCTTCTATTGGAATCATACTTAATTGGTATGTGCAATGTGTTTGGAAAATGAATGCATTATTGTCTCAAAGAGACTGACTTTTGTCTCCATTTCTAAGCAGTTTGATTTCTAATCCCTCCCCAAAGTTGCGCAACACTTCTCTCTGGAGCTAAAATGGTTCAAGAAACCTGTGATTATTCTGAAAGGACACGTTACACATGAATACTTCAATACGGAGTTCTTAGACTGATTTTAATCTGCATGCAAGACGTTTTTTTATTCAAACGACTCTTTTCAAATGTAACGTTTCAACCTTCAGCATCCATCGGGTGCTTTGGGTAATTTTTTTTATATTTTGCATGAATATTCCTTATTTTAATGTTGATCCAGAGTTTTAGTTGATTATCCAGGACTCTCTTTTGTAATTTAGAGTGTTTGATTTGGTCTTTCTGCTTTGGGGTGCACTTCTCTGTTACTGCTGCAGGTCTGTTGGATCAAGCAAGAGTCAGATTTAAAGTAAGCCCTTGCTGTCAGAACACCGTAACGTGATTGGCTGGTTGCTTTGATCCTTCGAGTTTATGATCTATGAGGAAAATGTGGAATTTCAGGCCCAAGCCTTGAAATCAGAAATCAATGCAAAAGCTTTTTTGATATTTGTTGATTAACATTCATTAGAATTTTGAATCGATTTACTAAATCTTTAAAGAGTAAAGTTTTGCTGGAGGACCAGTATCTATTATTGTACTGGCCTTATATTCCAAAAATCCAAGATTTTTGCTAAAAGATTTTGATCTTTAATATTCTGCATTTTGATTAAAATTCAACAATTACCAAAGAGCAAATGACCTTTAATTCCCATTACAAACTCTGTATGTTATCAGCGTTAGCGAAAGAAACGAAGACAATTTAGAGCACGTGTTTCATTTAAGAAGCATTAGGTCGTTTTAGTCTGAATGCACAGCATAAGTTTGGTGGCATAACTGAAGCGTCAGCCCTTGTGTCTCAGCCCCTCCGGTGTGAAGACACTCCGGTGTAAAGACATAAATGTCTACCTGCACGTGCCCACAGAGCAGGTACACAGAGCAAACAAACTTGACCCAGATGCTACTCCATCAACACCTAGCAAAATGTGCCATTATCCTATACCTGTGATCACTAGCTTCAGAGGAAGGTCACACACAGCAAACCGCTTTTGCAACCTTCAAAACCTCCGCTCGCAAAAAATAATTCCCCCCGAAGACACCCACCTGTCTATGGGACTTTGGAACTGCCAATCAGCTGTAAACAAAGCTGACTTCATTGCCGCATATGCACACCACGTGTCACTTGATGCACTGGCTCTCACTGAGACCTGGATCAAACCATGTGACAATGCTACCCCATCTGCTCTCTCAATTAACCACACTTTCTCCCACACTTCACGTGCATCTGGCCGAGGTGATGGAACGGGCATGTTAATTTCCAATAAATGGATATACAGTGAGTTGCTACCCATCACTAAATACAACTCCTTTGAATACCATGCCATCCAGGTAACTGTATCGAAAAAATTCTTTTAGGTTGTCATATATCGCCAACCAGGTCAACTCAGAGACTTTCTTGATGAACTCGACACCCTGCTTTCCTCCATTCCTGAGCACGACTGTCCCACAATGGTCCTTGGAGACATGAATATTCACTTGGACAATCCCAGCTCATCAGGATTCCTATCACTAATGTCATCATTTGATTTAAAACTAGTACAAAGTCGTCCAACTCACAAAGCTGGAAAAGCACTTGACCTCATTTTCACCAGAAACTGTGCCATAGACACAATCTCTGTCACACCGCTGGATCTTTCCGATCATTACTTCATCCATTTCAGCACGACTCTACAAGGGAGGTCCACTGCTTCCTCCCCAATGGTCTCATTCCGCCTCAACCTCCGCAATCTGGCACCCAACTACTTCTCCTCTCTTGGTGCATCCACTCTTCCATCTCCCAGCACATTCTCTGCTTATGAAGTGAATGAAGCCACCGAGTAACTCTGCTCCACACTCTGCTCTTGTCTTAATAACTTGTGCACTTTAGCCACTAGACCTGCTAGATCCTCTCAGTTGCACCCTTGGCTAAATTATACCCTCTGGTCTCTACGCACCAATCTTAGAGCTGCGGAACGGCAATGGCGCAAGACAAAAGATCCTGGTGATCAATTGAAATTTCATGAATTACTGTCCTTATTCTCTGCCAGCATCACTGATGCAAAGAAAGCTTTCTACACTGACAAAATTCTCAGCTCTACTGACTCTCAGAAACTATTTTCAACATTCAAAACTCTGCTCACCCCTCCATCTCCACCTCCTACCAACAATCTTTCAGCTGACAGCTTTGCCTCATTCTTCAATGACAAAGTGGCAGCTATAAGCAAACAATTTACTCAACTGGCCACTACTGAACATTCACTACCACAAACTCCTTCAAGCCCAACCATCTCAGGCCCTACTGCTTCATTTTCCTCTTTTCCCCCTCTCACTGAGAACTGTGTGTCCAAGCTTCTCACGTGCAGCCGCCCTACTACAGGCCCACTTGACCCCATTCCGACTAAGCTGCTCCAAGCTATTGCTCCTAGAGTAGCCACAGCAGTCACACATGTGATCAAGGCATCACTGACATCCGGTACATTTCCCACCTCTCTCAAGAATGCTCAGGTTAAACCACTGCTAAAAAAAACCATCTCTTCCTCCAAATCATGTGGAGAACTACCGACCTATCTCTCTCCTCCCTTTTCTGTCCAAAATCATTGAAAGGGTGGCTTTCAAGCAGATCACAGAATACCTCTCTCAAAACTGTCTGCTTGACCCTTACCAATCTTGGTTCAAAAAGGGCCACTCCACTGAAACTGCTCTGTTAGCAGTGACTGAATCCTTAACAGAAGCTAGTGCGACAGGCAAACCTTCAGTGCTTATCCTGCTCGACTTATCAGCTGCATTTGACACTGTCAACCATGGCTTCCTTTTTGTCCACACTCTAGCATGGGCATCACAGAGAAAGCACACGCCTGATTTGAATCATACCTCACAGGACGATCATTCAATGTATCTTGGCTTGGACAATCCTCTACCGTGCACCATCTTGCCACAGGAGTCCCCCAGGGCTCAGTACCAGGACCTCTTCTCTTTGCCATTTACACCACCTCACTGGGTGAGATCATTCGATCACGTGGCTTCTCCTACCACTGCTATGCAGACGACACCCAGGTCTATCTGTCATTTCCACCGGACGACCACACTGTGTCTGCACGAATATCAAATTATCTCTCTGACATATCAAAATGGATGAAATCCCACCATCTCCAACTCAACCTCTCTAAAACCGAACTACTTGCCATCCCAGCAA